CTCTACTAAAAATAGAAAAATTAGCCGGGCATGGTGGCGTGCACCTGTGGTCCCAGCTATTCAGGAGGCTGAGGTGGGAGGATCATCTGAGCCCAGAAGGCAAAGGTTGCAGTGAGCCAAGTTTGCATCACTGTACTCCAACCTGGATGTCAGACTTAGACCCTGTCTCAAAAAGAAAAAGAAAAAACATATATTGGCTGTAGCTTCTCTGCTTCCCTATGCTAGCTCTTTACTTGTGTAGCTCTGTTCTGGTTAGCAGGCTGCCAAGATCCACAGTATCTCAAACAGACTGGCTTACCTCATGTCAGTTAACAGGAGGCAAACTGGGCAGTAGCCAAGGAAAACAGAGCCCATTCCTCATCTCTAACTAGAGGGAAAGGAAATTAAACTAGGAACTCTTTGAAAAAAATCCTGAATCTCAGAAACTCAAAACAAAACAAAACAAAAAACAGCTTAGGAGAAAACTTGGACCCAAGAAATAGAATCAGCAACTTCTACCGGGTGCACTGGCACATGTCTGTAATCCCAGCACTTTGGGAGGCCACGGCGGGTGTATCATGAGGTTAGGAGTTCGAGACCAGCCTGGCCAACATGGTGAAACCCTGTCTCTACTAAAAAATACAAAAATTAGCCGGGTGTGGTGGCACATGCCTGTAATCCCAGCTACTCAGGAGTCTGAGGCAGAAGAATTGCCTGAACCCAGGAGGCGAGGTTGCAGTGAGCCGAGATTATGCCACTGCACTCCAGTCTGGGTAACAGAGCAAGCAAGACTCTGTCTCAGGGAAAGGAAAAAAAAAAGAATCAGCAACTTCTAAGTATTCCAAAGTCCACTTCTTGAAGTGACTATATCTTACTCACCTGCTGCGAGTCTGCTGCTGTGCCAGGCTCAATTTTTTTCACTGTCTTCTCTAGTTCAGCCATCATCACACGGAAGAAAACAACAAAAGTGTGCCTAGAAGACGAGAAAAGCATGCATGCCTACGCCATGATGTACTGCTAAGAACTACTTGGGAAGAATCAGGAACCAAAAGTATCTTCCTTCCCTACCTCTCTAAATGTCCTTTCACTAGGGTCCTTAGGAAGAGGATGGGGGAGTGGAAAGGACTCAGTAATAGGGACTCAGTAATAGGTCCAAGAAGATTGCCTGTCAAACAATGGAATTAACTTTATGAAAGGATGTGGTATGGTAGTATGGAAAAAGCAGTGAAGTAACAGTGAGAAGATCTGAGTTTGAGTCCTGGTTCTATGTTTATTTTATTGCACGTGTAAGCTTGAGAATTTCCCTAGCTCTCATTTTTCTCAACAGTAAAATAGGGGCAATGATACCAAAGACCTCACAGAATTATCAAAAGGATCAAACGAGATAAAGTAAAAGTGCTTTATAAACTGAAAAGACTACAAACGTTAAGATAACTATTGATATTCTGAGACACAAACCCATTAAGTGAGACATACATGTCAGCACCCTGTTCTTAAGATGGCTAAAATATCTCAGCTGGGCACAATGGCTCACGCCTGTAATCCCAGCACTTTGGGAGGCCGAGGCAGGCAGATCACCTGAGGTCGGGTTCAAGACTAGCCTGGCCAACATGGTGAAACCCAATCTCCACTAAAAATACAAAAATTAGCCGGGTGTGGTGGTGGGTGACTATAATCCCAGTTACTTGAAAGGCTGGGGTAGGAGAATCGCTTGAACTCAGGAGGCAGAGGTTGCAGTGAACTGAGATTGCGCCACTGCACTCCAGCCTGGGTGGCAAGTTTTCTCAAAAACAAAACAATACAAAACAAAAACCACCAGGGTCCTCTCAAATGTATTAGCTGAGAGCCCTTAAAAGGAATCCATAGCAAACTCTCTTTATTGAATGAATGAATATATCTACTGTCTATATCAGAATTAGATGAGGAGGAGCAAAGCAGTTGTGTGGAAGCTACATACATTGGACAGTGTGATGATGATTCTTTTTTTTGAGATGGAGTTTCGCTCTTGGTGCTCAGGCTGGAGTGCAGTGGCGCAATCCCGGCTCACTGTAACCTCTGCCTCCCAGGTTCAAACGATTCTCCTGCCTCAGCCTTGTAAGTAGCTGGGATTACACGCCCAGCTAATTTTTGTATTTTTAGTAGGGACGGAGTTTCACTGTGTTGGCCAGGTGGGTCTCAAACTCCTGACCTCAAGGTAATCCGCCTGCCTCAGCCTCCCAAAGTGCTGGGATTACAGGGGTGAGCCACCGCGCCCAGCCTGATGATGATTCTATCTTAAGGGAAAAACTGGAGGAAAGAACTCCCTTACCTGGTCAGTGTAGGGAATGTGGAGGAAGACACATCTTTAGGAGAGTTGATCAGTTCTGGGACACCAACACCAGCAATCTCCTCTATGGCCTTCAGAATGCTATCTGTGTGCTCCAGGTAGATACTGCATTGAGAGTCAAATATTTGACCCACTGATTAACAAAGTAGAATACAATGCAGATTCCTCAAATTCCTCTATGATCTGAATTAACAATAAGCAGTTAGCTGACAGCATAAAACAGAACCAGAGGATCTTAAGATCCACATGTTCCAAATTGTGTTCATTTTTAACCTACTTCATTGTTTTCAAATTCCCACTAAAAAGGTCATTTGTCCAGTCTCTGACAAAAAACAGTAGCAAAATAGAAAATGGCTATTTGGCTCATTGGAAGAAACCAAACATCTCACCAGAGCAAAGCATGGAGCTGGTCATTAGAGATGCTGCTCTTCTCTTTATCCCCACTTGGCCATACCCGACAGAGGAATTGTCTGGCAAGGGAAGCTGTTAGAAAAGAAGACAAAGGAATCTTACATATGGGAAGTTGACCTCATTCTTGCTTTTCAGGCTTTTGAGGATATCGATCAAAAGGATTATTAGTTTACATTTACTAAGACGTTCCCGGTCTAACAGGGAACTTACAAAAAGCTGTCATGTTCCTGAACCACTGGCCCTTTTGCCAGACATAAACTCATTTGTCTAAGGCTCAACACGTCCCACCCCAACCCCATACTGAAACACACAAACATGCAAACATGAACATAAATACAGACACACAGAGAAAAGGAATGCTGCTGGGCAGTGGGAAGGCCAATCTTGTTCCTCCTGAGCTGGCCAATAGCAGTGGTCACCTCCAAGATTCAGACCAAACCTTCCCCTTTTAATCAATAGGGAAAAATAAAGGTTTGTTTTGCATTTTTATCTTACTTTCTGATGTGCTGCAAACTAGGATGAGCTGCATTCTAAGAGCTATAACAAAAGACAGTTAAAGAAAGAAGCCAGGGCTGGGCACAGTGGCTCACGCCTGTAATCCCAGCACTTTGGGAGGCCGAGGCAGGCAGATCACGAGGTCAGGAGTTTGAGACCAGCCCGACCAACTTGGTGAAACCCCATCTCTACTAAAAATACAAAAATTGGCCAGGCATGGTGGTGCATGCCTGTAATCCCAGCTACCTGAAAGGCTGAGGCAGAAGAATTGCTTGAACCTCAGAGGTGGAGGGTTGCAGTGAGCCAAGATCGCACCATTGTACTCCAGCCTGGGTGACAGAGCTAGACTCCATCTCAAAAAAAAAAAAAAAGAAAAGAAAAGAAAAGAAAAGAAAAAGGCCAGGGAAGAGGCTAGTATTTCTTTTACACTTGACCCTGACTTCTCCTTTATCTCCTACTTTATTAACCTCATAGTTTGTGTAGTTTTGTCAAATGTCTCAGATAATTTTTTTTTTTTTTTTTTGAAAAGGAAGAACATGATTAAACTTAAGCCAAAGAGAAAACTAAGCAATTTTAGCAGAAATCAGTCAAGTTGTTCTGGGAAAATGACCTTCTTGGTATAGCAAGAGGGCCTGTCTGAGGTTATGTGGGGATTTACATGTAAAAATGTCCTGAGAAGCCCCAAGTTTACAAGTGTGAGATATTAGTCCTATTCATTTAAAAAAAAAAAAAAGGATCTGGGGCCCATCACCAATTTTTTCTTTGTTCTGAGTAGAAGCTGTCGATTTCTCCAAAATAACCATCAAAAGTCTGATGAGATAAAGAGCACACTGGAAACTGGGAATGCTTTGATGGAAATTCTGCAAGTAATGGAAGCTCTGGCTGTAAGAAGACAAGAAAAACAAACAAATGCAATAATATCCTATGTATTACAGATATATTTAAATCCACATGACGTGCCCAAGTCCCTTTAAGTGTTTGATGGCCTAATCAGAATCCTCCTTATTTTCAGGTGCTTTAGTAGCAACCCTCTTCAAGCATCTCGGTAGAAAACCATACCTTTGTATGGAAAAAGCCAGGGCAGAAGACAGCCCCATGGATGGAATGTTGGCCTTGAAGGGGTCATGTATGCTGAGAAACCCAAGCACCACGCTAATATGCACAACCCTAGATAAATTATCTGCTCTTTAAAGCCTTAGGCAATACACTGAAAATAATTTTTAAAATCTGGGTTCACAGGCCGGCCATGGTGGCTCATGCCTGTAATCCTAGCACTTTGGTAGGCTGAGACAGGCAGATCACCTGAGCTCAGGAATTAGAGACCAGCCTGGCCACATGGCGAAAATATCTCTACAAAAATACAAAAATTAGCAGGGTGTGGCAGCATGCGCATGTAATCCCAGCTACTTGGAAGGCTGAGGCAGGACAAGCTCTTGAGCCCGGAAGGCGGAGGTTGCAGTGAGCCGAGATCACTCCAGCCTGGGTGACAAAGTGAGACTCTCTCTCTCAAAAAAAAAAAATAAATAAATAAAAATAAATAAAAGAAGAAATAAGGTCCTGACCTATAGACAGGGATGATAAGCACTGACTGCTGACCCAGTGATGGTCTAGGTTATCAAGGGAAGTCAGAGAAAGACCAAGTCAAATCTGACTGAAGGGGGAGGGGGCTGAAAAGCCATGCCCCTGAGATCATCTCACCTCCCTTGTCCACTGCCTACCCCTCAGCCACGTAAGGTCTTCCTACAAGACAAGGGGAAAGAAGCAGGTTATCAGTGATAACTAGCTGCTGCCTAATTACCCAACCCTGCTGGGAGACAGTAGGTCCCTGGATAATCAAGAGTTGATTACAGATGGTCAATGTTTTCATCATTATTACTTGAAAAGGCTGTGTTTATGGGCTGATACATTCATGAAGATTTAGCATGATTATTCAAGGCTTCTAATACTTCAGGATTTATCAGAATATATAGATGAGAACGCTCATATATGAGGAGAGTAGCTGAAAATAATTTCCTTTACAACTACTGAAAGACACCCAGGTATTTTCAAGAAAGTTGCCAATCCTGTTCCTAGGAGTTTCTTGGGACAACAATCTTGGCTATGTAGTCTGACTCACCTGAGCAGTTCCTCCAACGGCTGGCTGTGTTCTCCCTGTTTCAGTCGGCTACTAAGGACATGGAGGGCTGAATACAGTAAATTCTGATTTTCAGGTTGAGAAAATCCACTCCTAAGGAAGTCAAGGTAAGAGGGGTTAGCTTAGTTTCTGGAAAACTACTTGGATAATATTTAAGGATCCTGGCCTCCAGTCTATACCATCAATAGTTTAACAGTTTGAAAAAACAATTGAGAGGTCAGGCGTGGTGGCTCATGCCTGTAATTCCAGCACTTTGGGAGGCCAAGGCGGGCGAATCACGAGGTCAACAGATGGAGACCATCTTGGCCAACATGGTGAAATCCCGTCTCTACTGAAAATACAAAAATTAGCTGGGCGTGGTGGTGGGCGCCCGTAGCCTCAGCTACTCAGGAGGCTAAGGCAGGAGAATCGCTGGAACCAGGGAGGTAGAGGTTGCAGTGAGCCGAGATTGTGCCACTGCACTCCAGCCTGGTGACAGAGTGAGACTCCATCTCAAAAAAAAAAAAAAAAAGAAAAAAGAATTGAAATGGAAAGTACTGAAGTACCAAATTCAATCACAGCTCTAAGTATCAGAGTAGAAATTGAAATACATCCAAAGTAATCTTTCCTGAAGTCTTCACAGGTTTCTTTTCTTCTTTCTTGTCACAGGTGTGAGCCACCACGCCTGGCCCATAGGTTTATTTTCAAGGGCAAAAAGCTCTCCTTCATTCCCTACATTTTAGAGATAGGTAGTCTTCTTCAAAAATATAGGAATAATTTTGTCCAACTGCTAAATCAATGTCCAGCCCATAGTGGTACTTACCCATTCTCCTACATTAACCAGTCAAGTCTTGACATTTCTATCTTTGGATTACCTTTCATATTGTCCCTTCCTTTCCAAGCCCAGACCATCATTTTGGCCAGGCCCCTATCAATACATGTGTAGATCATAGTGACACATGTATTTTTGAGTGTTCTTTTTGCATCCCTTTTCAATCTGTCCTGCACTCTGCTGCCAGATGGGTTTTCCTAAACCACTGCTTTCATTGCATCATGGCTATGATCATAAAACTCCAAAATGGCTTCCCTGGACAACATTTAAATTATTCTGCCTGACTTTTGACGCCCAGCACAATCTGACTTCCTAGATCTTCTCTAGAAGCATTTTCCCGACCACCAGTGATAGTAATTCTTCTTTTCAACAAATGTATTCTGAGGGCCTATTAGGTGTCAGGTTTTATGTCTACCATAGCTTCAATGAGATATAATTGATGTACAGCAAACTTCATGTATTTAAAATGTTGAATTTGGGCCAGGTATGGTGGCTCACGCCTCTAATGCCAGCACTTTGGGAGGCTGAGGCAGGTGGATCACTTGAACTCAGGGGTTCGAGACCAGCCTGGGGGCAACATGGCGAAACCCTGTCTCTACCAAAGAAAAACAAACAAACAAAAAAAAGCAAAAATTAGCTGGGTATGGTGGTACATGCCTGCAGTCCCAACTGCTTGAGAGGCTGAGGTGGGAGGATTTATAAGCCTGGAAGGCAGAGGTTGCAGTGAGCTGCGATTGCGTCACTGCACTCCAGCCTGGGCAACAGAGCAAGACCTTGTCTCAGGAAAAAAAAAAGGCCGGGTGCGGTGGCTCACACCTGTAATCCCAGCACTTTGGGAGGGTAGATCATGAGGTCAGGAGTTCAAGATCAGCCTGGCCAAGATGGTGAAACCCCGTCTCTACTAAAAATACAAAAATTAGCCAGGCACAGTGGCAGTCGCCTGTATTCTCAGCTATTCAGGAGGCTGAGGCAGGAGAATCACTTGAACCTGGGTTGCAGAGGTTACAGTGAGCCGAGATTGCGCCACTGCACTCTAGCCTGGGCGACAGAGTAAGACTCCGTCTCTCACACACACACACACACACACACATGCACACACGCACGCACGCACACAAACATGGGAAACAAGTTTAGAATATACTATGTAAAACCACAGGCTAAATTGCTAAAAATATTCCTGTACCAGACCCTGGTGGATATATGCTTTCATTTCCCTTGGTTAAATACCTAAAGACGGAATGGCTGAGTCACATGGTAGGTACACGTCTAGCTTTTTAAGAAACTACCAAACTATTTCTCAATATGGATGTACTATTGTAAAGTCCCCCTAGAAGCATGTGAGAGCTCGTTGCTCCACATTCTCACCAACACTTGGCATGCTAAGTCTTTTTAATGTAGCTATGCTAGTGAGTGTGTTGTGCTATCTCATTGTGCTTTTAATTTGCATTTCCTTAAGAAGTAATAAATAAACATCTTTTCATGTATTTATTCTAATTATTATTTTTATAATTTTTAGAGATGGTTTATTTTCTGTGTTAACTTCGCTGGGCCATTGTGCCCAGATTTTTTTTTTTTTTTTTTTTGAGACAAGGTCTGGTTCTGTTGCCCAGATTGGAGTGTAGTGTTGCAATCTTAGCTCACTACAACCTCTGCCTCACAGGCTCAAGCCATCCTGTCACCTCAGCCTCCTGAGTAGCTGGGACTACAGATGCATGCCACCATGCCCAGATAATTTTTGTATTTTTTGTAGAGATAGGGTTTTGCCGTGCTGCCCAGGCTGGTCTCGAACTCCTAAGCTCAAGTTATCCACCCACTTTGGCCTCCCAAACTGTTGGGATTACAGGCATAAACCACAATGTCAGGTCCCTTTCACACGTGCCATCTATAAGTCTCCTCGAAAAATTTTTCAAATTTTTTGTCAGGCACTGCTTTTAAGTACTGAGGATATTAAAATGACAGACATCTGCCTTCATGGAGCTCAGAGTCTAGCAGAAAAGACTGCTGAACAAGTAATTATAATAAAATGAGATTAAGTTTTATCACGAACGGATACCAGAGTGTTAGAAGAGAACTGGGGGTTAGAGAGGCAGGATGGATGCTTAAGTCCAGATCTCAAGAGATGTGATGAGTCAGAAAAAGTTGGGGATCAAGAAGAGTGGGGGTCCTGGCAGGAGAATGAACATGTGCAAAGTCTCCCACATAAAAGCTATATGGGGTGCTGAAATTAACTCAGTGAGGCTGGAGGCAGAGTATAATATAATAAATGGAATAGCAGGAGTCAGAAGAAGACCTAGAGGCTAGGTAAGAGAGTTTTAACTCAAGAAAAATCTAAGAGCAATCAGAAATCCAAATTGGGATAGGATCAAATTGGGTTTATGTTAGGAAGATCACTCTTACTGCCATGTGAAGAATGGACTGAGAGAGGCCAAGTGTGAACCTAGCCCAGTCCAGGTTGAGAGATAATGGGAGTTTGGAAGCAGTGGAGAAACAGGGACAGATGGCTATCTGGATGTTATTTATAATAGAAAATAAAATCAACAGGATTTGGCAATCAGATGTGGGAAAAAGACGGTGGAGAGCAGAGGGAGGGACAAAGAATAACTCCTGGTTTCTGGTTCAGGCAATTGGTGGTACCATGTACTAAGCCAGACAAAGCTGAAGGAGCGTGCTAGGGATGACACATTCCATTTTGGATGTGGAGTCTGAGGTGTCAATGACACATCTAAGGAGGTGTTGAGTAGGCAGTTGGATATAAATGCCTATAGCTCAGAAAATGAATTTT